TGAATAGTGACGATAAGTTTGAATATAAATTTTCTATATTTACTTCAGTCTTATTTTAGCGCGTTTCCTGTCTGATTGTCAGTAAAATTAATATAGCTTCCGTCTAATTTTCATTTGGAAAGAAACAACTTGAGCAAAAATAAAACATATTTTCAAATTTTTCAACGTCTATGTAGCTTTTACATGTTTCTTTATCTCGGATCTCAACAGCTTTACAAAAGAATTTGAGCCACTTTTACGTACGTATTTTCCAATTTAAATTCACGGAGAAATGTTGAATGAGAATAATAAGCTTACAAAACTATTCTTTTCTATTTTGTTGATTGCAACACAGACAGATAATTTTTGCTTTATTTATATTATCTTTTATGTATGGCAGGGTTTCTGTTATTTAAGAGTTTCTCTAATTTGAATTGTTTTATTAGAATATTCCTCATAAAGTAATATCCATGTTTAAAACAAAAAATAATAATATCCTAAGTGCTTTTCATTTTTAGTACATGAAGATTTGATAATATCAGCGAAACCAATAAAAATAAATATTTGTTTTGTATGCATGTAATACCATTAAGGCAAAAAACAATTTTCAGGAGTATTATGTATATCGGTAGAGCGTGAATATTATGATACATGATAGCAGTAATCAAGTAATAGCATTTTATCGTATTATCAAGCTGTTTTATTTCATGTAAAAGTTATTGGGTGTTTTTAATCTGTAATTTTTTCTTTCAGTTTGAGTTCTTTCCACAAGACTCGCGTAGACGAACTGCCTTCAATAAATTCTAGTCAGAAGGGTTCAGATTTCGATAAAGATGTCTGTTCCATGTTAAATTTCGAACCCACCAACGAAACAAATTATATTCCTTCAACCACTTCTTCTATAGATCTCTTCGACACCAGCAACGCAAAAATGTCCACCGATTCTGCGTTTCAGTCTCTCGGTGACGGTTTAGAACTGGAGCAAGATGAACAGAAGACAACTCCACCAAAATCACCTGTGACTAAATCTTTATCTAAGAGTCAGTTACAGATGAAAAGCCTAGCAGAAGAAGCTAAACTTATGGCTTTAAAACGAGGTAAGAATCTGAAAATAAGCTTCTAAAGCTTTTTAGACTGATATAGTGCTTTCCATAGCTGGTAGTAATGCTTCCAAGTACAGAAGTCGTAGAGGTTTTGACCCGTCAGATAAAAGTAGCGTTAGTCGATTCTCTACCCAACCTGTCACCACTGATGAAGTTCAGGAAGCTGCTAAGATGAAGTCAGGTAAGCTTTAGGCTTAAAAAAATCTAAAATTGTTTAATCCTGAGATGTTGCAGTTGCTGTGTTCTCTAAATTCTATTTTTTTTTTTTTCGTTATTAATTTGATGCAGTTTCCTTCCCTTTTAAATGATTTTACTTACAGTTATTATTTAAACAAACCCAACTCTAAGTCGTCAGACAACTGTTCATACCTTTACACCATTGATACTTTTCCGTATTTTTGTTCAAATACAAATGGGCATTTACGGGAACTTACGGGAATTTTTTTGTTCGGATTTTCACGCGATTTGGAACTAGTCCGTATATGGAAGTACAGTCCGTTCCCCCTTTGTAAGAAATCATAAGTAAAATATGAATCCTTCCTTCTTGAAAGTCTTTTCTTCGTCTTCTCTCTTGAGCGCCCAGGTTTTTGCACCCGTTGGTTAAATAAAATTGTATGGCAGTTTCAAAAGGAATAATAAACGTATTGATAGTAAACAAAATTGTTTAATAATATTAATTATTGATTCATAATTGGATGTGATAAAAAAATCTGTAAGACGTTATCTTCGTTCTGACATTATTATTTAGTAGTTTACAATATAGATATACATATACATTAATATATCAGTATTAAGTACTTTAACTTCAGAATACATAAACATGTGTGCTTTGTTTAATTATAGAAATATACTTTCCTTAGATTAACTCATATCTATTTAACAATTGATTATGGTATTACCATGGCAGTCTGGCTCAATATACTTTTATCTCAGCTTATTTATTATTCTGTTATAATGAACGTTTCATTCTGTGTCACGAATTTTGTCTTTCCGCAAACTTGTAAGTCGCTAATTTCGAGTCTGCCGCGTGCTGTCGGTCTAGTTAAATTCTTGCCAAAATATAAAATCTATCTTTAGACTTGGAGATCGGTCATCTACGCGTTTAAACCACTTGCATTAATACTCCAGCGGTGAAACGGTATTAACGAGAAAAATTATTATCACCTGCTCCCACAATTCATGTAAGTGATGTAATTGATTGATAAATAGATAAGATAATAAAACAGTGAAGAAATTACGAACTACAAAACATTTACTTTTTATACGTCATAATACAATAGTTTTTTGTATCTAGTATTACTNTTAATGAAGGCAATAAATCCAGCATGATGTTATTTTTTATTGCTTCTTGTGTCAACGCTTTTCTTGTTCACTAACAGTATCCTGAAGTTATTTACGAAAATAACAAAAATTAATATTAGATAACTTTTATGAGTTATAAAATTCACGACTTTTTTGTAATGTTTATTTAATTGAATCAGTAGTTTTCATTGACAAGCTTTAACTTATTTTCAAATAAATTTTGCTTTACATCAGTAAATGAATATAAAACAGTCAATATAGGATGGCGTAGTAAACATTTAGAGTTTACTTTAACTGCAAGATTTAAGAACGTCATAATTCATTAAAAGGTCGACACAATTATAAATTCCATTAATCATCTCATGTCTTACAAATTAAAGATGCAAATGTTAAGAAGTAGAAGTTTATGATAAATAGTACATGTGCAGTAGTTACATGCTAAGTGCAGTAGATTTTTTATGATTTTACTATTGATCTAATCCTTGACATTTTAAGATTCTTGAACTGCAATCCCAAAGAAGTCTAAATAATTTTAGAACTCGAAATTTCGCCTTACAACTAGAAATTTCGAGTTGTAACTTGAAATTTCGATTTGCAAATATGTAGGAATTTTGGGTTGTAAATTAAAAATTCGACTTGCAACTCCGAATTTTGAGTTACAACTCGAAATTTCAACTTATAACCCGAAATGCCTATCGAATTCTGATCTAACCTAATCTAGAGCAATTGGAGGACAAAAGGACAACTGCGTTCGTATTGTCTTTACCTACCGTAATCTTATAATTCCAACCAATCGAATGAACTCATTAATTCAATTAGGTAAAGATCACTTCTAGGGTAGACAACAATTGTCACAACAAAATAATGGTTCGAGCTGAAAGACATGGTCTAAATGAACTGTTAGGTACTGACTGATATCTTCAATGGTACTGCGTTGATAACGTGGGCGTCACCAAGACTTCGAGATATAACCTTTGGCTACATTGTCAACGTAGTGGCACTGAAGGCGTCAGCCACAGTTCCCAACGAAACGTTTATATGGACCATGATCCTTCAGCCCGACTCATAATTCTAACATGGATTCCGGCCGTGAAAGCCTATTTTTATAGGTACCTTTGGGTAATTCAGTTTGACGAAATTTCAAGTTGCAAGTCGGAATTTCAAAACGAAGTATAATTGTTCCTTTCGATTACTATTTAAAAAATAATATAATATAATATTTTAGGAAGACATGGAATCTACATTTCATAATATTGATTATAATTTATTGTTTAATTAATTTTGCTTTATTTTTTTCTTCTTTAACAGGTGATCAGAAATCTTCTGATCTGTTACCCCACGAGCCTCGAGGTATATTAAAATCGAAAACTTACGCGTCCCCCGCGTCACCGGAGCCTTCGTTCTTGCCAAAATCCGTGTTAAAAAAACGCGAAGACGCCAAATTATTAGACGATAGCAAATCTTCATTACGTTCGATACTGAAACAAGAATCGGCGGAACTCGCGCGCGATGAGGGCATTTCCTCAGACGAATCGGACTCTGACGTTGATCTCGCGATCGGTAGTAAAACTGAGTTAAGTGGTAAAGTGACGTCGTCGAGACTTTTGAATAGTGACGATGGCATGCAAACTTCTGACGGCGAATCGTCCGGTGGAAGAGAAATAAGGAACATTCTTAGCCGGGACCCATCGTTCAGGAGAAGATCCCAGGAACGGTGAGTCTTTTAATTGATTGTCTATATCTTCATATATCTACATCAGCGTTTCTAACTCTTTATGTATTTGCGACCCAATTTTCAATCACAAGTATCGTCGCATCGCCCCTCCCCTCCACCCCGTGTTAATTTCGAGATGTAATTGTAATATAAACTTCATTTTGATGACAAATTTTAAAAATTACCGTAGATAGGTAAATTTACTACTATTTTATTTCAGTAAATTAAATAAATTTTTAATAATAAGAAAAAAGGCAAATTTAAGTTTTTCTAGTCTGGAAGTTATCACACTAACTCAGAAAATCTACCAATTCTAGAAACTGTCGAATTTCATGTTCTAAAAGTGGTCAGTTTTTTTATATATCCACTTACGATTAATTCTAAAAAAATTAGTGGTTATCAGGGAAGTAAAGTTAAGAAAAACAGGGTACTGACTGACAAAAATTGAGGTACACAAAAATTTAAAATGAAATTAATGTTCAACCCTTGAAGCAATATTTATGAGTCAATAAATCACATTTTCAGTTTACAACTCAATCATGAAAGCGAAGAAAATATGTAATTTAAATTAAAAATAATGAATTTATTTACAGTTACATATTAGATCGTTCATGAGTATAATTTGCTATTTCTATTTCCACATCCTGTATGTTGTAGTTTGCAGACTGATTAAAAACGCAAATACTCGAAAGTCAACCACTAATTAACATACTTATGTGTGTTTCTGTACAATGATTAAAACGCTATGTTTGCGTCTGTAATAAAGCTATAAAACGATCGAGTTTTCTTCGTTGATTTTATTTTACTTCTTCGCTTCAATAATTGTAAGAAATTCTCCTATATACGAGGGTGGATTGATAAGTTTCCGGCCTAACCAAGAGATGACGCCACTAGGCCTACCTTGAGGTGACATTCTATAGTACCATCCTTGGATAGCTTGTAGCTATAGTTTCAGCCCGATCTCCTTGCTAGTGTAGGTTTGACAGCACGCTGAACAAGACGCCTCTGTGGTTTTCGTAAAAATGGAAAAGCAGGAAAATCGTGCTGTCATCAAATACTTTTATTTGAAGGGGTTAACGCCGAAGGAAATTAAAAAAGAGATGGACTCAACACTGGGGACATCCTCCCCGTCATATTCAACCGTTAAGCAGTGGGTTTCCGAGTTTAAAAAGGGTCGTGTGAGCACCTCTGATGGGCCTCGCTCAGGACGCCCCGTTGAGGTCACAACTCCAGATATGATCGAAAAAATTCATCAAATAGTGCTGGGAGACCGCAGATTGAAAGTGCGTGAGATAGCTGAGACCTGTAAGATGTCATATGAACGTGTGCAACATATTTTGCACCAACATTTGCATATGGAAAAGCTCTGTGCAAGATGGGTGCCGCGTTTGCTAACAGTCGACCAAAAATTGATTCGAAAAAACATTTCTACCGCAAATTTGTCATTGTATAAGCGTAATCCAAGCGAATTTTTGCGTCGATTCGTAACCGTTGACGAAACGTGGGTCCACCACTACACTCCTGAAACCAAAGAACAGTCTAAACAGTGGATTGGACCAGGGGAACCAACTCCAAAGAAGGCAAAAACAATTTTTTCGGCGAACAAGGTTATGGCTACTGTTTTTTGGGATGCAAGAGGTATTATATACATTGATTACCTTGCAAAGGGTAATACTATCACTGGTCAATACTACGCAGACTTATTGCAACGTTTGAGCCACGAGGTGAAAATTAAACGACCTCATCTGGCGAAGAAAAAAATCTTGTTTCATCACGATAACGCACCAGCGCACACGTCAATCGTTGCGACGGCTAAAATCAACGATCTAAAGTTTGAATTGATGCCGCACCCTCCTTACTCTCCAGACCTAGCCCCGAGTGACTATTTTCTGTTCCCTAATCTCAAAAAATGGCTTGGCGGTAAGAGATTTGCGGACAATGAAGAAGTAATCGAAGCTGTAAATGGTTATTTTGAGGAGCTTGACGAATCAGTCTATAGAGATGGCATTAATAGACTGGAACACCGCTATGAGAAATGTATCAGCCTTGGAGGAGATTATGTTGAGAAATAAAAAAAAAAATTTTTTAAAAACCTTGTTTTTCTTGGTCAGGCCGGAAACTTATCAATCCACCCTCGTACATCCGCCGGTATACAAGTGGACTTAAGAACTTAATTAAAAATGTTCTTCAACGTTTTATACTTTTTACTCAAAGCAGTATAATTACAGTTTTTCTCGACTCGGTTCCCGTTAATTATTTATTCTCGAACTCGACTCTGCATTTAAGCAGAATTTCTTCAAGACATTGAAATATTAACAAAGGATTTATAAGGAATACATGTCGTTAATTAGTAATGCGAAACTAAAAGCACTTCAAGGCATAAAATACGGTTGTTGATTACGATTATGCAGATGCAATATTTACACTTGTATTTATGCATCTGAATGTTTTTGCATAGGTAGATATTTATTTAAATAACAACGTTGTTTGAAGGAAATTTTCTGTCATTTAATTTCATTTTCATTTCTAAAGTATGCTCATGTTTGTATACAAGCAATTAAATATGTTCAGATTCAGGGTACATTTACCTGTCTTTTCCTTTAAACCTTAATCTAGAAATTTTAAATATTAACAATATTGTTGGCTTATCCAAATCTTCATAATACTGCATTCCTATTCAGGTAATTTAGGTTTACTGTATCGACCCTTTGCAGGTAAACAATAGCATCGGAAACAATATCTTTAAAATAGTTGTAGACACGTTTATAAGCAAGAATTTCAAATATTTGAATACTAGTTAGTTACCACTTTCACCCCTTCCTCTGTCAGGGTAGAGATTGCATTGATTTATACACTGCTTTATCAAAATCATCAGCTTCAGCATTTTTTAATCGTGAATATCAGCGTGTAATAGTGTAAATAAATATTACTAAGTGCAGTATATAGAAGTACATTATTTGCATTTAAACTTCGATCATAAAACTTGTGTGCCCCCTCATATGAGAAAGAAGTGGCTCGACACCGCAAACAAATAAAAACAAAATAATTTGAATATTTATGAATATGAATTTAATTCAAAGAACTAAGTGCATGAATAGAAGAGCGCCGAACATTCAGAAATATTTTTGTGGATACGAGGGATGTGGTAGCTTTTTTTTGTGTGAGCCAAGGGTAGGTCACACCGTTGTAGAATTAAAGATGTGCTCCTAGGTCAGAAAATGAAAATAAACACATTAAACTTAATTTATTCAAATACATTGTTTATATATCGTTCACCGTTACAATAACTTTATGAGATAGAGATTTCCAAAGTCGTACTAAAATAGGATGAGTCAACTATTGAGTAAAATAATACGATCTTCTCTGTAATTTTAACTGTAAATTCCTACGTATTTGACGGTGATCATCTTCTGTTGACAGTTCAGTTTTGTAGTAAGAGGTAGCAAATTGTAATGGTATTTTTTTTTCTGGTGAGAAATTTATTGAAACGTGTCATGATCGAAATTGAATACCTGCGAAAACCGCTATTAAAGGTGTAAACGAAATAATGTTTATCATGGTCCTATTGAAACGGCACAGCCGCAAACTTGCCGAGGATCGGTCGTTGTTTTTGTATCAGAGAGTGATGATGACCATCAAACTGAAATAACCAATTAGGCATAACAAAAAAGGAACAGTTGAAATGATGTTATTGACCTGTAACATTGTCAGGAATAAATGACCTTTTAAAAGTAATGATTTCGGATTCTAGTGATTACTAATAAATACGTTGGTGTGGAGTCATTTTAAGAAGGCGAAGCCGGTAGTAAAAGTAGATTGAAGAACGCTATTTGTTTTTGATGATAATAACGAACTGTTAAGGCGATATGTAGTTTTGGGAAAGTTTGTCGTAAATATTTTTTTAGATACAGGTACTTGTACTTAAATTTACTTTCATAATACTAATGTTTACATAGAATATTATCAAAGGCAAAATAGGTTAAATTAACATTTGTTTACTTCTACATTTCGTATGAATACCAAGCACGACAATTCTTGTATTTTTATTTTAGTTTAAAAATTTTGTTTATGATTTCTTTCTCGTGGACTTGTGAATTAATTTTTAACTGTAATGTGCAAAATATGAACATTGTGAGTAGAATGATTAAAAGTACTTTAAATTTTGTCAATTTTTAGGTAATTTTAAAAACCAATACTTGTTTATTAAGTTGTTAAAACTAAAATCTGTTTATCTAGAGAAAGTTAAGTTAACTTTTGCTTGTACAATTTTTCAATTATCACAATCGCCTACGTCTTCAGCTTCTATTTTTGAAAATATCAATCACATATCGATAATATCAATATCCATCGGTGTGACAACAGAAAGCGTTGTGCAAACAGAAAATTAAAAAGAAACTTAATTTATAGCTTACATTTGTATGCTTCTCGCAGTAATAATGCTAATAATAATATGTGAAAGCCTGATAACGTATAGTACGGTGTAAGTATGCTTACTAACCATCCTTATGACGATAGATAGGTAGTAAAGTTTTCCCATTGCAAATCACCACGTGATGCGGAAAATGCAAAAAACTGTGCTACATAGAGCCCTTAATGGTAGGTATTACTCGAGCAATCTCTGACATTAGTAGCACTCTCGGAATTGATTGAAATTTAATGGTACGAGTCACGAGAAGTATTTTTTAATTAAATGATAAATGGTATGTTGCTCAAAAGGATTTTGATGATTCTCCTTATTAATGCCTTTTATTTATTCGTAGCTTTTTAAGATATAGGTAGGTATGGACTCGTATAAGTTATTAATTAATGTCATTGTTATAAATATCTCAAATTTTCAACGATGATTAGCAAACTCCCAGGTTTCAGTTCATTTCAATAAAAAACTTAACTTCATTATATTAAATTATCGCGCTTATGGGATACAATTAACAGGTTTTTATTTTAATACAGACAACTCATAAATGTCTATACATACATCTTATAAGCCTCTCTTATAATTT